TCTACAGTTAGCTGTTGTTAGGAGCTTAATCAGAAAAAGAAGTTTTAATTTATCTTTTATGAAATTATGTGGATAAATTTTATGCTTTAATGACATTATGACTCCCAACGTGCTGCTTCAAAAATGCTGTAATTCTCTGAAGAAATGTTGGGGAAGGATGGATTATGTCTGAACATTTGTCCAGAAAATAGCTATTTTAAGCACTGTCTGTATATGAAAAAGATACAAAGACCATCTCCACTGTTGCATTCTCATAAGTGATTTTTTTTTTCTCTTTTTAAATAGCATAAATTATTCAAAATAGCCAACATTTGTGCATTTCAATAGGAAACTTCACCTTATTTTGGGAGGGGGTGTCATGAATATTTTGGCAGTTTTCCCTCTTTAGGCAGAAATAAGACTAAAAGGAAATGAGTAAGGGTTTCTTTCTGCCTCTGTAACTGAAACAGTATTCAAATTTATAGGTGAATTTTATTTGTAGCGAGTAGTCCCTTTATAAACCATGAGTTTATCTTGTAGGTGGCCTTCTAAAATAAACTTTATTTGATTTTCTACACTGTGCTCATGATTTGGCCTTATGCCTGGCCTCCCAAGTTGCAAACATCTACAGTAGACCCAAATGTTAAATACAATAACCCAAAAAAAAAAATCTAAAAAATATTACCGATGTTAGTAATAAATTACTAAGTAATATTAACACTGGGGCAGTAATAAAGTAAAATACTATAGTGGCAGTCCTTAAAAATTGTTCCACTCATAAGACATTAATCTTTCCCATGTTCCAAGTGAAATATATTATTGTTTTCTCCCCTTACAAGAGAGTTGGTTAGGTGTTAGGGATATTGCATTTATTTGCTTGACTTATTCTGTTCAATACAAAGGTTAAAAAATAAAGGGAGAGCACTGTATGCATAGTATCACCTAGCACTGAGCCTTTATCGGAAGTTAGATATATAGATTAAAAATACATCAAAAAATTTAAAACAGAATATGCTAAATTCAAAATGACTAATCCTGACAAATTCTTCTAAAAGTTAAAATGAAAGTAATTTAAGTCTGTGGAGGAAGTTTGGATCTTGAAAAAAGATATGATTTAATTAAACATGGGGGGAGGGGGAAAGGTAGAGAAGAAAGAAAGGATGGGAAGAAAGGGAGGAAGAAAAATGGGGAGAGAGGGAGGCATTCCAAGCAAGAAGTGTACATTCCAGGAATGAAGTAGAAATACAAGAAGCCTACTGAGGAAACCATGTTGGAACAGATGGTTTGTATAAGGCAATGGTTTTCAAATTATGTTCTGATGAGCCCCTACAGGGGCTGGTTGGCATGGAAGTGAGGAGGCCAGCTACTGGAGTCTTTAAGCAAGGGTTCTGCAGGTATACTAAAAAGATTAGTCAGACAATGGAGCCAGAGGAATGTGTTGGGAAACTATTCAGTAAGTCAGATGAGATGGCTTGAGCCCAGATGTATCATTGGCCACATGTCTGAAAACAAAAGAGGGAGATGGATGCATGTACTCTAACCAAGGAAGAACCAATAGGAGTGGATTACAGATTGGATGGATATAGTATCAGGGGAGAGGAGTCAAAGATCCATCCAGAGATAGAAATGAAGACTCTCATGTTGAATTTAAATCTATGGTACCAGATTGTATAAGAATATGGAAGATAATACATTGATTGTGTCCAAATTCTAAAGGAAAATGCAAAGTAGATTGAAATTGTTAACTTGAATATGCAAAATATAATTGTATTGGCTAACTAGGGGATCCTACATACCTAGAGTCTACACGGAGGATGAACATATGGCAGACCTGGGAATTGTGCTGTTGTGTACACCTTGGTCCTTAAGGATAGGTGCTTATTTGAATAGAGAGACTGCTTCCTTAGAAGTCTCTAAGCTGGAAAGGCTTTGTAGAGAGCCCCTGTTAACGTGAAAAGCCCTAGGCTCTGTGGCACAGCTAGAAATTCCATATCTAAAATCTGGGAGTTGGCTCTAGGTGAAGCAACATTCACAGAGTAGTATTGTTAGGTAAAGCAGAGATTGCTAATGTTGTGGCTTCCAGCTGATAAGGGATAATATAAGCCCAGCAGGAGGAGACTTGGTATTCCTCCGACCTGTGACATAAGCCCCAAACCCAATACTCAACTTTGTGAGGGACAAGAAAGTCACTGGGAATTTCTGCCCTTCTCCCAAATAAAAACTATAAATGAACTAGATAGATAGATACATAGAGATAGATAGATAGAGATATTTACTTGCTCTCAGGGTTAGAAAAGCTTGTTTAACATAAATGTAAATACAATATAAAGATTCACAAATACACAATATATGCAGTTCAGCAAAATTCACAAACAAAATCAAACAGTAAAAATAACTTTAAAAAATATTGGTTAACTTAGCAGATAGAAAAGCAGTGCATGGAATCAACAACACACCAGTAGCAAAAAGTACACATAACACCCAGATTTGGGTTTCTGATACTATTCTCCAATAAAAGCAGCACTAGGGTTCCTTAGAGAAACTGCCAGTTCTAGAGCTGGGTCCGGAAATACGCAAGATGAGCCAAGAGCATTTTGTAGTGCCTGAAAGTAAGGAAGTGCTCCCAAACCTTACAATGATAGCATGTCAAAGGGGGGTTACAGGAGCAAACTGAAAGATCTCCCAATGGCCAAAGCTTTGAGCAACAAAATAAAGTAGTATTAGACTATAACCCAAAGTGTAAAGTAAAAATATCCATGAGTCCATACTGATATAAGTGATTGAATAAATAAATTACTGGGGAAGAATGGACAAATCTGCTATGCAGGAGAATTCCAAATAATTTGTGTAGATATTCCCCACTCAGTGGTTAAGCATTTAGCTGCTAAACAAAAGGTTGGCAGTTCAAATCCACCAGCTGCTCCTTGGAAATCCTATGGGGCAGTTCTACTCTGTCCTGTAGGATTGCTATGAGTCAGAATCGACCCAGCGGCAGTGGGTTTGGGTTTTTTTTTGTTTGTTTTGTTTTGTTTTGTGTTTTTGGTATTCCTCCCTCAAAGAGGTAGAGTGTGTCTCCCCACTCCTTAAGAGTGGGCTGCACATAGTGACTTCCTTCCAAAGAATACTGTATGGAAAGACGGGGAAAGGGAGGGCCCTTAGAGTGGAGAAATCTGACAAACACTACCTCAGTCTGGTTATCAAGGTTAACATCACAGTGATAAGTCGTGTTGCTAGTATGTGCCCCTGATATGTAACATGATGAGAATGGTGCTTTACCTCCATGATCTTCCTTCCAAAACCCATAACCCCAGTCTAATCATGAGGAAAACATCAGACAGATTTCAGTAGAGGGGCATCTTACAATATACTTGAATAAAGTATGGACTTTGGTTAAGAGATAATGTATCAATACTGGTTCATTAAACCAAAAACCAAACCCATTGCTGTGGAGTCAATTCTGACTCATAGGGACCCTATAGGACAGAGTAGAACTGCTCCATAGGGTTTCCAAGGCTGAAAATCTTTATGGAAGCAGACTGCCACATCTCTCCTGTGGAAAGCGTGGTGAATTGGAAACACCAGCCTTTCAGTTAGCAGACGAGGGCTTACCACTGTACCGCCAGGGTTCCTTATCGAGTTAATTGTGACAAATGTACTGTACTAATGTAAGATGTTAATAATAGGGGAAACTGGGTGTGGGGTATATGGGAACTACCTGTACTATCTTTGTAGCTTTTCTGTGGAACTACTCTCAAATAAAAAGCTTATTTAAAAAAATAGACAAAAGGATACCATACACTCCATGCATCAAAAGACCAGTAGACACTTGGAAAAAAATCAGACTTACTGGCATTCAGAAATGCACATTAAAACAGCTGTGAGGTTATTATTTTTCTCCTATTTATCTGGCAAAATAGCTTTTTTTTTTTTTTTTTTTAATATTGACGATGATTTCCACAATTAGCAATGTATAGGAATGTAAATTGACACAAATTCTTTGGAAGGCCTTTTTATAATAGATAAAAATAATGTGTATCCTTTGAAGCAGCAACATTACAGCCAGGAAGAGACCATCAATGTACACAAAAAATGTTTTTTACAGTGTTATGTACAGTAGCAAAAACTCAGAAATTAACCAGAAGCCTATAAATCCAGGATCATTTAAACCAACCTTAGGAATCTCAATGTAGAATGCAATGCAGACATTAAGACTAATACTGTAGAATAATATTTGAGGACGCATGAAAATGCCAATTGTAAAACATATATACTATGTCATGCATTTCCGTGATTATCATTTCATTATAAGTGCATATCTCCTGGATCTGGGATTTGGTGAAATAATCTTAAGAGATACTATTAAATTAAGTTCTTTCAGTGAACTTAGTGGTTTAAAGTCACTTTATAAATGACTTGAAGAGTTGTTTTAATACATATTATAATAAGTATATCAAGTATTGTTCCACAGCCCTGTCATTATATTTAGATGCCAGTACTTTTTAAGCTAATGGCAGTGAAGGACCACTTTTTCATTACCACAAATGTATGTGTGTGTGTTTTCGGTACATTACACATACAGATAAAAAATGGAATGCACAGTCAATAAAATGTTCCCTGTGGTTACCTCCGACTGGTAGGATAAGGACAATTTTTATTTTAATTTTGGTGACTTTCTACATTTTCCAAATGTTCTTCAAGAAATCACAGAATATTTTTTGTGATTAGGAGAAAAACGGCTTTAAATGTTAGTATTTTTCAAAAAATACGTATTTTATTTATATGAAACTATCCTAAAGCATTGCAATCATCTTTTTGTAAAAAAGATTGATTTTCACTTCGCTTTGCTGAGTGGGAATAGTTTATACACAAATTGTCAGTCACACAGATTTATACTGTCATGAGTTTTCCATGTACGTTCTACTTTTCTATTAGGTGAAGTTTTCATGAGCTGTTAAAATCATTGTTGTGTTTGATTAATCTTCTCATACTTTTTACTTTTAGGTTGGTGTTTGGAATGCTTTATCCTGCATATTATTCATACAAAGCTGTGAAAACAAAAAATGTGAAAGAATATGTAAGTATAGTTTTATGAGTGCTTAATTCAGGCTGAATGTGTAATGGTATACAAGGTTTGAGAAACCATCATTATTTTAGAAACATCTATAATGTTTTGGGTTAAAATAATGGTTTAAATGTGAGGTAATGAAATCAGTCTTTTTTTTAAAAAAAAAAAATCTTGAAGACAACGCCAAAGTGAACTTTCAAAAATAATTCACTGTCATTGGCATTTAAATAAATATATGGTTTCCAAGGTAAGTAATTAGAGATAGCTGTAATTTAGTTTGTATATTCCCGGGGTTGGTTTGGGGAGTTTTTGTTTGCTTGTTTTTAGCCTTATAAATTTATTGATATACTAAGAATATATCTCTCTGGGCCCAAAGCCTTTTTCTTGTTCCATTAGGGTTTTATCACTTTCTGACCCCTTCAAATATGCGGATACCTCATCACTACTAACAGTATAATCTTTTTTCCTTCATGAATCAAGCTGGATTTGTAATGATTTCCTTTCTACCCCTCAGTGTTTTTTCTTCTCTTTCAGTTTCTTCTTCCCTGTTCCCTAGTTGTTTGATGGGTTTTTTTTTCTTCCCTTGCTTTTCCTTACTGTTTTTATTTTTTCTCATTTCTATAAGTTCTTTTCATTCCCAATTTTATCCATACTGTTTAATATAAATGGCCTTGCTCACCTATAAATCTTGGCATAGTTTACTATGTGTGATGGAGTGAATTTTCAGAGAATAGCAAAAGCATATCTTATTGGTAGATAATGAGCAAGGGTAAGCAGTCAGTACTGAGATAACTGCACATCAGTGCAATTTCACCCCCTGGTGAAATTCACATAACATAAAATTAATCATTTTAAAGTGAACAATTCTGTAGCATTTAGTGCATTCGTAACATTGTGCAACTACCACCTGTATCTCACTCCAAAACATTTTATCACTACAATATAAAGCCCTGTACCCATTAAGCAGTTACTCCTTATTCACCCTCTCTCCAGACCCTAACAACCACCAATCTGCTTTCTGTTTCATGGATTTGACTATTCTGGATATTTCATATAAATGAAATCATAGAATATGTGACCTTTGCTTCTGGCTTCTTTCACTTAGCATAATGTTTTTGAGATATCCACACTGTAGCATGTATCAGCACTTCATTCCTTTTTTATGACTGAATAATATTCCATTGGAACCCTGGTGATGCAGTGGTTAAGAGCTCTGCTGCTAACCAAAAAGGTCAGCCGTTGGAATCTACCAGGCAGCTCCTTGGAAACCCTATGGGGCAGTTCTACTGTGTCCTATAGGGTCACTATGAGTTGGAATTCACTCGAAGGCAGCGGGTTTAGTATTGTATGTATATACCACATTTTGTTTATCCATTGATCTGTTGGTGGACATTTGAGTTGTTTCTACCTTTTGGCTATCGTGAATAGTGCTGCTATGAACATTCATGTACAAGGATTTGTTTGAGTACCTGTTTTCAGCACTTTTGAGTATATAGCCATGGTTCATTTTAAGGAAGCTTGGATGGTAGTCTTCTTATCCAGCTCATTAAATGATTAGAGATCATTGTTCTTTATTCTCTTTTTTTATTGTTGTTTTATCCCGGGGGAAACTGAAACCGTTGTAACTAACCTATTCTATTGGAGGAACCCTGGTGGCATAGTAGTTAAGAGCTCAGCTGCTAACCAAAAGGTCAGCAGTTCGAATCCACCATCCACTCCTTGGTAGCCCTATGGGGCAGCTCTACTCTGTCCTGTAGGGTCACTATGAGTCAGAATCTACTCAACGGAAGTGAGTTTTTGTTTGGTTTTTTATTCTATTGGTACTTTCATAGAGTCATTTTTTCTTTTTTTATAAAACTAATTTTGAAGTGAAGTTTATACAAATTAGTTAGAATGGTGGAATACATCTAGCTAGTGGAAGTAAAGAAGTTACTTGGTGGAGCTCTGAAAGTTTTCTCTCCCTTTGTCCTAGTTTCCTAGTGTTGCCGTACGTGTCTTAATAAACAGAAATTTATTGTCTCACGGTTTTGGAGGGTAGAAATCCAAATTCAGGTCATCAGCAGAGCTATGCTTTTTCTGTGTTGGCTCTAGGGGATGGTCTTTCATTGTCCCAGTCAGCTTCTGTAGCCCTGAGCATTCCACCCTACTCTTGTATGACCTTATTAATATAACAGAAGAAAAACCCTATTTCCAAACATGCTCACATTCACTGGTACAGGGGTTAGGACTTCATCGTATCTTTTGGGGGGCATACACAGTTCAATCTGCAACAACTTTTATCTAGGTTGGTGAAATAATCTTAAGCAATGGAAACACATTAGGTCCTATTAGTAATTTAAAGTCATTTTATAGATGCCTTAAAGAGATGCATTTTAATATATGTTGTAATAAATACTTGAAGTATTGTTTCACAGTACAGTACTGTCACACATTACATAGTTTTTAGAAGCCAGTGCTTATCTTCTATAAAAGTGATTTTTAAGGAACCTGTGGAAAGAAATTAAAGACCAGTTTCTTTAATTTCCAATAAGTCATACACTAATACTTTTATAAAATAAAATAAAAAATTATTTACTAGAAAAATGGAATGGAAAAAAAAACAAAAACATACAAAGAACAACCCAACTTTTTTTTATTACTGTATCCAATAGACATGAAATTACTCTGTGCATTTTTGTAATTAGTTGGAATTGACTCAATGGCGCACAACAGTAGCAGTCCTGGAATCTTAATTCAGCTTCGTAAGTTCATTTAATCCTATGTAAGAGAATCCGTTAACATTCTTACTTGAACTGATGAGAAAACTATACAACTTGATATGTGTTTATTTATATGGATGGGTAGATACTTAGCGTATTGCCTTGCACAGTTCTCTTTACACAATAACTCATTATTAACAAAGAAAGTAAGAGTTATCTGTACATAATATTGCTGTGAGGAGCCTTGGTGGTGCAATGGTTTAGCATTTGGCTACTAACCGAAAGATCAGGTGGGAAGTTGAAATCCACCAGCAGCTCCTGGGGAGAAAAGACTTGATGATCTGTTCCCCTTAAAGATTACAGCCTAGGAAACCCTATGGGGCAGGTCTACTGTGTCATATAGGGTCGCTATGAGTCGGAATTGACTCAGTGGCATACAACAACGGTATTGCTATAGTGTTGTGACTCTGAAAAAAAATTTTTTAATCATCCCTTTGGGAAGACCAGAATAATGAGTAACAGAAGCAAAACTAGGGAAATACCATATTTTCATGCAAATAACCCATACCTTCTTCATTTGTTTGCTGGCCATGCCCTCTCCCCGCCCCCTCCCCCATATCACGAGGCACCCTCACAAGCACCGCCATGCCGATCCTTTTCCACATGTTGCTGTAAAAAAAAAAAAAAAATTAGTATAGCGTGCTTATGAAAATACCTCGCGGAGGGGAGGGCAAGGCCGGCAAACAAATGCAGAAGGCACATGTTATTTGTCTATCAGTATGATAGACAAGTAGGTGGCCAGAGCTGGTTTGATAATTACATGGTTATCAACCCTACTTCACAAATAAAAAGAGAGCTAAAAGCAAAAATGTTCACATATTTGAACAGGAAGTGCAAAGCATCTGCTTTTGACAAGGAAATACGATGCAGCTCTGAAGACCTCCCAGTAACCAAGTTGTCTGCCATCAAGGCTGCTAAACTAAACTGAGATGTCATCTTGGAATAATAACAACACCTTGTGTTTATGTAATTTCCTACCAATTTCAAAATATGTCTGTATATTGTCATATTAGTTTCCTATTGCTTCTGTAACAAATTATCACATCCTTAGTGGTTTAAAAACAACACAGATCTATTACGACTCTAGGGGTCAGAAGTCTAAAATGGGTCCACAGGGCTGTGTTCCCTCTGGAGGCTCTAGGAGAGAATCTGTTTCCTTGTCTTTTCTGCCTTCTAGAGGCTGTCCTCATTCCTTGGCTCATGGCTCCATTCCTTCATCTTCAAAGCCAGCAATGTCAGGCTGAGTCCTTTTCACACTGCCGTTTCTCGTTCTCCCTCTTCTGCCTTTCTTGTGGCCCACCTGGATAAGCCAGGATAATTTTCCCATCTCAGAGTTAGCTAATTGGCAACCTTAATTCCATCCACAACCTGATTTTCCCTTCATTGTGTAACCTAACATATTTACAAGTTCTGGGGGTTAGGAAGTGGAATTGTGATGGAGGGGCAGCAGGAGCTATTATTCTGCCTACCACAATAATACCTCACTGGTCCTTATTACAACCCTATAAAGTATGCATGGAAGACATTCCAATATTACAAGCTCAGAGAAGTTAATTTATCCAGGGTCTCATGGATTGTACAGTCAGGATTGGTACCAGATTGGAGATCTGCTGTTTCTAATATTTTATTCCTTCTCCTCCACCATGCTACCTTTAAAAAGGTACGTCCGGATCCAAGCTTCACAAAAAGAGTTGAAACAGCTTTCACAACCAGCCGGTGAATGTACTTCTGATTAATTCCAAAGGTAGACCTTCAGGGGCCACAACCATATGGACACTTCCAGGAGGGGCAATGAGGCAGCTTACCCAGAACTAGGACCAGACCCATAAGCATCTAAGTCAACTGTGAACAAAGAGTTTAAAGAAGAAATGAGACTTTTTTTTTAATTGCTGTACTTTAAGTGAAAGTTTATAATTCAAGTTAGTCTTGAATTCATACATATAAAAATTTATACATACATTGTTATGTGACCCTAATTGCTCTCCCTATACTGTGACAGCACATTCCTCCTTTCCACCCCGGATTTCCTGTGTGCATTCAACCAGCTCCTGACTCTCTGCCTTCTCATCTCACCTCTGGACAGGAGCTGCCCATTTAGTCTCATCTATCTACTTGAGCTAAGAAGCACACTCTTCATGGTATCAAAATGAGACACTTTTAAAAGTTCTATAAAGTCTTGGCAATCCTGTAAGTATTTCCAACCTAAATTTACCTCTATTGAAAAATTTGAGAATCACTTTCTTGCACCCACCTCTTAAAGGAAGCTAAGTCTCACCTAAACTTAGCCATCCAGTTTAACCTCTGACTGTAATTAACAGTTTTATCAGGACTCTGACCTCATAAAGGTTTCCTGTATGGTAATTCTGTCCAAATTTGCTTTATTTTTTCATACGGTAGTTTTTTAGTAAAAATAACCTTCTTAAAATTGCCATTATATTTTTAATAGCCCTTTATACCGTCTCATATTATATTGTTATTTGAACACGTGTTTGTTGTTCTCCCACAGAATGTAAATTCCATAAGGGAGGAGTTTTGTTGCTTTGTTAATTGTTACATTCTCATTGCTAGAACAGTATATGGTATATAATAGGTACTCAGTATTTTTCGAGTGAATGAATGAATGAGAAAAGGAAGAAGAATTGACTTTTATGTCTATATCAAATATTAAATTGTGTTTACAAGAGCATGTATATTTCTTAATTGGATTGGTCTAGTTTCTCATCTTTGATTCTGTAAGTTACTGAGTATACAGTTCAGTCTGAACACTTATCCCAAAGCCTGGTTTCTCTGTGGTATTTGGTTATGACCTAAATTCCACTGATACCTACTTCAAAATTATTTTCAGAAAGCAAACATTTTCGGTTTATTTACTTCTTCCCACCCTAACTACTACCATTCCCCTTAAGCCTGCATATAGTAGATTGCACCTGATAAAACAGATGCTGTGTTCAAATCAAAACAAATGGAAAGTGCTGTATATTTTGGCAACCCTCCTTTCTTCCTCTGCCTATTTTTAAAACAGAGCTTTTTCCTAGGATATAATTTCCTGTATAGTGTGGCTGATATGGCCTACTTAAAGTCTTTCAGTCTTGCAGTAATTGAAATGTAAACTTACTGAAGAGTTAGTATGGTTTTGCAATTTTTTTCAGGCTCTTACCGTCTCATGACTTGAAAATAGAGTGTTTACTTCCAAGTCGTATGTAATTGCTGTAGCTTTTCTAGGAAGCCAATGTTCTTATTCTAAGAATGCTGAAAAACATGGCAATGAGAAGATTGACTAATAGCACTTAAAAATCAAAATCAGACGTTTGGTCCTGAGATTTACTGTGAGAAGGAACAAAGAACAGAAGAACCCTGGAAGAGCACTCTTTTAAGAGGCCTAGAAATGGCACTCGAAAACCCCATTGACTTTGGTTTTGAAAGTGACCTAATATTTGGCTGAATATTTGGGGGAATTGAAAGTGGATAAATGTATGGTACAGTTTTTGCTGATTAGTGAACCCTGAAGTTGTTTTAGGGTGGAGAAAAGGAGAAAATGTATCAAGTAATCTTTCTTTGTTGTTAAGATGTGTTCCTTAGGCATCTTTTGATATCTTGGGTTAAAAGTATTCATTTGATATAAGAGTTTTAATAATTAGGAAAGTATAGAGATTAACCCACTGATTAAGATGGGATTTTTATTGAATTTAGTTGTGTCAGGTCATGTGCTGGTCTGGTCCCCCCCCCCCCATTTTGTCTGCTTTTAATTTAGATTTTCTTTTTATCAAAGCTGTACTAATAATTTAAAGAACAGAATAGTTTTCTAAGGCTTATTATAAAAAACAGTTCCCCACCTTCCCCATTCTTATTTTTCATTCTCTAAAGGTAGCTGCTTTCATCTCTTTTATCTCAATCTTTTAGCATTTGTTATGGATTGCAATTGTATTCCCAAAAAATTTATGTTGAAGTCTTAATTAACCCCTAGTACCTGGGAACATAACCTTATTTGGAAATAGGGTCTTTGAAGATGTTATCAGTTAAGATGAGGTCATGCTGGAGCAGCCTGGGTCCTAATCCAACCTGAGTGATGTGCTATAAAAAAAAGAAGAAACACAGAGAGACAAAGGGAAAAGGACCATGTGATGATGGAATTATGCTGTAGCTGCAAGCCAATGAACACCTGAGGCTACCTGAAGCTGGAAGGGACCAGAAAGGATCGTCCCCTGGAGCCTTATTAGAAAATGTGGCCTTTCAGACACCCTGAATTCCAACCTCTAGCCTCTAGAACTGTGAGGCAATGAATTTCTATTCTCATAAGCCACTTTGTGGTATTTTGTGGTGCTGTTTTACAGCAGCCCTAGGAAACTAATACAGAAGTTACTTCCATATTCTAAAATAACATGCTTATATTGTTATTTCTTAATCTTTCAGATAGGCATCATCAGTTGACTTCCTACTTTGAAGATGATTTATGTAGTTACCCAGTGCTAGGTACACATGCATATTTCCCTATAGCCTCCCAGCGTCATTATATTGTAATTTGGGTTGGATCATATTCAATATTTGCATTATTCAGATTAAGTTAGAAAGAAGCAATAGCATATAAAGATTAAGAGCACAGCATGTGGAACAAGGCTGCCTGGGTTATCCTCCCAGTCCTACAAATTTGAGCAGATTATTTGACCTTTCTGTGCCTCAGTTTCCTGATCTGTAAAATGAGTACAGTAGTAGGACTTAGCTCCTCAGGTGGTTATGAAGATTATATGAGTTAATGTACATAAAGCATTTAAACCAGTACCTGACATATAACAATACTTGTTATATAAGTAGCTTTTGTTACGTAAACACTACTTGCAGCTGATCTCTACCGTATCTTTCCATTACTGTTCTTTTCCTGCACGATTGTTTGTTTTCCCTGGTGTTATTTGTTTTTTTTTTTTTTTTCATTTATTTTATATTCTCTATGCTTATTGCAAGTGCTCACCCAAACTCTGTCCCAGTTGTGTAAATTGCTTCTTAGTGCATTCACGTCCACTAGATACTCAGGCGTGGCTGTTCTCTGGGCCGGCAGCGTGGCTCTCATTAGCCGCACAGCTTCCTCCACCAACGTGCTGTGGAGTCTCTTTATGTCTCTCTTGTTTTGGAGTCTCCATTTTCTTTTTTTTTTTTTTTTTGGTCCATTGAGGCCTTTTATTTGTATGTATGTATTACATCCCTAGAAAAAGAATCCCAGGATTTTCCCTCCTGTGTGTTGGTCTTGCTTCCTCGTGGTCTGTGATGCCAGCTGAGGTCATCAGTACAATGAAACCAAACTAATAGGCCGGAGCAGATTAAAAAAAAAACAAACCAAACTTGTTGCTGTCGAGTGGATTCCGACTCACAGTGATCCTATAGGACAGAGTAGAACTGCCCCCAATAGGGTTTCCAAGGAGGGCTGATGGATTCAAACTGCCGACCTTTTGGTTAGCAGCCAAATGCTTAACCACTGCACCACCAGGGCACTTTTCAAGATCTTTGAGTTGCACGTCAAATCTGGGGCTGATCACTCTACACTTATTTAACTCGCCTGTGTGGTTCACAACAAATTTCCCAGCCCTGTGATCATCAGTAATTTCAAATTCGCCAGTGTAACCATGCTTCATCACCACAGTTGGAAACCAAACGATGATTTTGGAGCACGGCCTGATGAGAACCTGGCGCTCTCTTCTGGCATTATTGATGCTCTTAAGAGTGTTGTCCAGGGTGTTCTTGCGCACCGTTACGGCGGCATGGAAAGATGGCGGAAAGACGGATTCTCCGATTATCCTCTATCTTCTTTCTTATTTTGATTATTGAAAGAAGTCTATTTAAATTTACTTAAAGTAAATTAGATGTATCAGTACATAACTTCATTGCTGAAGTAATTGATAGTGTTACAATCCTCAAGTCATTTATATTCTTCCTTATGAATTCTGAAAACGATTACCTCACAATCATCTCAGGATCATTACAACCCATCCACTTTAGGAAACAAGTGTTAAATTTGAATAGAATTATATAACTGGAGGGTTTCAAAGGAACGCTTAACATAGTTGTTTCTACAATTTTAGAATGTGAATTAAGAGTTACCCTTGACGTCTACGAAGTCAATTGAAAACATTGCCACAATTTTCACACTAAGATATAGCTAGCCATCATCTACTGACTTGTCCTTTTATAGCTTTCAACGCACATGCTTTGGAAAACACACAAATAAAAAAAAAATTTTTTTTAAATCTTGCAATAGCACTTAAACATAAGAGGCTTTAAGTCAGGCTTTTGTTAATATCTAGGAAGAATTTTACTAACTATAGTGCCAGTGAATATAGATTTTGAAAGCAGTGACAGAAATAGTTGTTACCATTAAAGGAAAATGTTGCTAAGAAGTAAATTGGAGGGAGGCCTAGCCACCTCCACCCTACTCCCTAGTGATGGAATAGCTTCAAATCATAAAAGCTGCAATAACTGAAAAACTCAACTGCCACCACCCTCACAGTGGGGAGAACTGTGTTCAGAGGCAGTCTGCCTTCCCCTTAGTGCTGTGCCTCTTTGTTATCTGTTTAGAAACCATAACCTCACTACTTGAAGAAAACCCCCAGTCAGTTCTGAAAGGGAGAGATGATAATTGACTATTAGAAAAAAATCAAAAGTGCAATAACAGATGGATTCAAAAATTAAAGCAAAGTAATACATACCACAGTTTATATTCTTGTATATAACAACTTTCAAAGCTTTTATTTTAAAAAGGAAGGAAGAAAAAAATGTAACATTCAACTCACAAAGCAAGAAAAATGTCAAAACCAAAAGAAAAGTAAGGATGTAAGCTAAATAAGGAAGAAAAGAGTATGAATAAAGCAACGTAAAAGCAGAAATGAATTACCAAGAAAAAAAAAAAGGGACTTAATATATCTAACAGTTGTTGCCTGAATAAATCTAATAAACACTTGAAGTAGCTACAATGGTTGGAGGATAGAAAAAGCATGGACAGAATGGGAAACAAGAAAAGAGCTTAGACAAGCAATACTAAATTTAAGTCACAAAGAAAATATTAAACTATCTAAAATTATTATTGAAATAACATCTTCTAATAATATCAGATATACCTGGGTTTTTTTTCTTCTTAATATCAGCTAAAAATTACCTTACTTGTGCAGTGAAATTTCCCCCTTTTACACGGTACCAGACTCTGC